AATTTGAGACGATTCAAATCTCAGCAACTTAACTTGAATTTGAAAACAGCCACAATCAATAATCACCGTAATAAAAGCCGTTTGAACGAAATCTAGTTCATATTTCAACACACATCGATTGCACATTCTCATTCGCAGTGTCAACATGCAGGTAAGCGCAAACACTCATTATTTTCCAATATGCATTCCAATATGCAATGCCACTCTAGTAGACAGTCAGTATTCGATTGGATGCAATTTTGTGTGCAAGAATTTGAAACATAAAAAAAAAACAAATGAGGAGAATATTGCTAAGTGCGTAGTTTTAAATGGCCCGCCCGACAAAAGTGAAGATCAAAAATTTGGCATTCATTCGTACATCATGTATATAATATTATATTGATTAAGAATATTTTATGTGTACTTCGTACTTTTCACGTTAAGATTCATCGATCTTGGCTCTTGAATGTACGAAAGAAAATATCTAAAGTGATTTTTTCTCCCATAACACACATATCAACGCCCTAACGATCTCCGAACTCATAACTGCCTGTCTCAGCATACGTCCTTCACGAATTTATGAAATAAAAGAGTAAACGAGTGTGACAGAGAAAGGGACACAGAGAAAAAGAGAAAAAAAGTAATACACAGCAAATCGTAGCGAATTTTTCATGTTTTTTTAGGTTACCAAATATCGCCACAGCACATTTTTTTTCCAGTACGTTGTTCCTTTCTATCTGCGTGAATTCAACATTACCATATAAATATATATATATATACATTTTTTACAAAAATGTGTCTGTTGTTTCTTCCAAATATACATGCAATATTTAAAAGGCAAATATGGAAGGCGTTGATATTTCGTTGATTCAATTGTATTCTTGCCACATGGTCGGCTCATACTACACACCATCATACAGAAAAGACAAAATGAAAGAGACAAAAAATGTGTGTACTGTTGTTTTTTTTTCTTTTGCTTGTTGTTGGTGGTGTGCTGATGTTTCGATGTATTTGCGCGCTCGAGCCATGTCGATATAGATCACCACACTACATTTTGGTCGGCAAATCAACGAGCACACGCTCATATTTTTTTTAATCGTTTTTCGTTTTATTGAATAACATAACATGTGTATTTGTGCGCTCTCAGTTATTTCTAAACATTTCCATTGTTCTCATTGAATACGTACACATAATTTTTTGTTGTTGTTGTTGTTTTTGTCGCTGCATAACTCTGATATGTGAGAGAGGTTAAGGCAATACACATTTTTCGGTCGTCAAGAGAGCTCGCCGAATGAATGAAGAAATGAATGAAATGATCATACACTCACACCTATACAACATATTCACACTTAGTCATCGTGTCATTGCAAATGAATTTTTCAAATTCAAATGAATAAATAAAGTAACAACAGTAGTATAGAAATGCCGGTTTCATCCCGCAATAATTATTTCCCAAACATATGTTCGCTTCGTTGCGCTCAGATTGTGCACATTATACCGTGGTTGAAACATACATTTGTACTAGGTAGTGTTTGCTTCAAATTCATTGAAAATTTTTATTTTTCTTTATTGTTTATCTCGAACCATCTAATCCAAAGTAGAGAGAAGCGAGCAGAGAAATACAGTATTTAATGCTTGTTGTGCGTGTGAAATGAGTGTTTGTTTACCTGCTTTAACGTTGTGTGTTCGCTCACTCAAACACACATTCAATAATAATTTTTTTCACTTTACTCTCATTCTCTCTCTCTCTCTCTCTCTCTCTCTCTCTCTCTCTCTCTCTACTAACTAAGCCAGTGTTTTTCTGCTTCGTTTGTTTTGGTTAATTTCATTTATTTGAGCGTCTTTTTTGTCCAACATACATATGGTTTTTTCATTCGGTTGGTTCGTGGTACGATGTCAGGAACTTTGATTCTTCTTTCCAAAGTGTGTGTGTTTTTCTGCTTTTAATTGCTTTGTGGCAAGCGCGCGCGTTTAAAACCAAATCATTTTCACTGAATGGGATGGTAATGGATGAAAAGCGCGAAAAACATATAGCACACCTCTCACCACTTAATCATTCAATCGCACTCATGGAAAATTGAAAAAAAAAAACAAAATGATATTGCTACGTTATCGATTATTTCGGTGGCAAATATATATTTTTCTTCTTTGTTTCGAACTCGTCTTACGTATTGTTTTCATGCTATAGATATAAAGTCAAGGAATTAACGCGGTTTAGGTAATGATTAATCTATGAAATGGACATGAAACACGCACATTGTGTTTCCTGTTCAACCTGAAAAATTGAATGTTTATTTAGAAAAGGAATCAACTACGACTAAGTAATGGGTTTTTTTCCATTACAATTCGTATAAATCGAATATTTGAACTTTTTGAATGCGCGCGCGCGCGCTCGCGTATATTCTACGATGAAAAAATGTACGCGTAATAAATTTTATGTGAAAATTCAACGATTGAAAATTTAGATAAACGATCAGATGGATTTGCTTAACTTTGATGACATAACGACATGAATGGGCAACATGATATTTTTTTTCGATTCGATTGAATTTCCCGGAATGTTTGGTGTGGGGGGAACAAAAATGTTAGTGTGTTGTTGCTTTGAATGAAAAGACCTACCGCTTAAAAGGTGCTTTTATTTGAATATCTTATTTTATGTATCCGGATCAATGATTTTCAAAGAAATTCATGGTGGTATGTTGTTCCTTTGATCTTGTGTGCGTAGAACATTTTACAACCATGATTTTTTCGATATTCAGAATTTTTTGTTTCATTTTTTTACCGTTGTCGCAAGGTGAGCAAAAGAGATCTCTCTCTCTCTCTCTCTCTCTCTTTTCACACTCTGTTCACAATTATGTAAAGTATATATAGTCAGTAGATGACAGCAAAATTTGAGTCGATAAGAGAATAAATAATTAAGTTTATACGTGTAATTGTAATGTTGTGTAACATTGAAATTCGGGGAAGAATCGATATTTAATATTTACAATCATTTCATTGGGTAAACTTCAATTCAAAGGTAAAAAAAAATGAAACGCACAATGGAAAATAGCCAAAGCTCATCAACATCAACAACGATTTCACCGGATAATGCGTCCAAGAAACAAAGAGAAACTTCTCTACCAAATACATCAACCACGCAAAGTCAAATGGCAGCAGAAAATTTAATGTATTATGAGCAAGAGAGATTGAAAACATTTGATGATAAATGGCCAGATCTGTCCATCGATCCACGTAAAATGGCTAAAATTGGATTTTATTTCGTTGGGCCAGGCAATAAAGTAACATGTCCCTTTTGCAAGAAATTTTTTTGTAGCTTTGGAAGTTTTCAAAGTGCATTATATATGCATGAAAGTTGTCCATTTATTTGTCGTTTCAAAACACCAAACGTGCCCATTGAACCAGGTAAATAATCACAACTTATCATTTGATTAAAAATTCATCTTATTGCGTTTATTTTATTTCGATGGCAGCATCTGATTTAGATGATTTGTTACCATCAGCAAAACCTAATGCTTTTTTAGCTCCAAATGGACGTGTATTTTAAATTCTTTAAGGAGTCAGAGGCTAGTTTGGCCTCCTGAAAATCATTTAATGAAACCAAATATATTTCGTCATTTAATCCACTTAAAATATTTTTGGTTTTTGAGTTTGATGAAGGTCTTTTTTTATTCATATTTGTAAAATTCTAATAATATTTAAATACGAGAAAAAAAGAAAGTGAGATTTAAATCCATCGAATTGATTAAGAGAGAAAACTGATTAACTGGTGCATTACGATGTTTGTGGCCCCATACAAGTAATCTCAATAGGCAACGCTAGATTTTTTGTAACATTTTCATTTCTGATGGACATAGTGCGATGTATGCTACTAGACTCAAACTTACCATGGCAGTTTTGCGTGGAAGCTTTATCCACGACTGTACGTGTTGTAAATAATGTGCCAGACAAAGCAACAAATGGAAAAACTCCAGAGTAGCTATGGAGTAATCGCGTTAATTTAAAACGTTCAAAAGTAAGTTCCGGATCAAAAACCAAAAAAAATTGGACGACAAAGCTATTGAGTGTATTTTTTTTGTTATTCTGATGCAACAATTCTTTATTGTGAACAATGTTATTTATAACAATATTGAAGAAATTATGTAAAGCAAGATGCTCCTAAAAATTCGAGGTCAATAATTTCCGTGTTGGAATAAGGTGGATTATCCACTAACCTTTCTACGGCCAATGTTGAGGTAAAGCAGGTGTTCACTACACATCTTTTAATTGGTTCTCCTCCAAGTCCTTTAGAAATGTACCGTCTGCACGGCCCGACTGCTTTTACTCTCGTGAAACAGTGCACCTGATGTATCGAATAGAAGTCCCCCAAGTAATTTGAAGCACGTGAATTAATATTCATCAAACATTGGTAGAAAAGACTGTCACATGCACAGCTGTACACGTGGAAGGTTCCTGCTTTAAATTTGTCTCGTTGAATGCCCGCATTTACATGATCACAGTCAATGTGTTCAGTCTAGGGGATATCCATGCGAATTAGAATTAGCACATTAGCAAAAAAATAGGGAAATTTACATGAAGAAAATAGCAAAATTAGCAATAAATAGCAGAATTAGCACTGTACACGTATATACTTTAGTAAGCATTTATTCTTGAATATATTGAAATAATTAATTAAAATGAAATTCACAAAACAAACGAATTGAATAGTGTTGAACTAAAATGTATCAAAATATGTAGTTAAATACGCTTTTTCTTATTTTTAAATAAAAATATATTCAATGGCACGTAACCAAGCACGTTTCATCTGTATTAACTACAATTTACGAATTGCAATCGGAAATGTAGATTTGATGACAGATTTCTTACTGAAAACGTATACGCTAGTGCCTGCTTCAAATATACACGTTGAAAGTGTCAACTTGAAACATTTACGTAAACACATTTCAGTTATTCGATCATGCTGTCAATCTGACGTATGCAATATTTTTGACGTACTAGAGAAATTAGCAAAGAATAGCAGTATTAGAACAAACTAGTAGAAATACTAGCAGAATTAGTGAAAAATAGAGAGAAATAGCGTTTATTATTATAAATTATTCGATCTGCAATTCACGGTTATCCCCTAGTGTTCAGTTATGCATTCTTCAATTGTTGTTAACTCACACAAGGTGAGTTGTAACAAAAAAATCCTGAAAATAAAGAGAAGAATTATTTTTATGATTTACAAAAACGTAATTTTGAAGAATTTCGGGTACATAAAAAATGAGTTGTAACAATAAAACGGGTACAGAAATGTTTTACTTACCAAATAGTCCTCATTTCGTCGCCGTTTAGAGTAGTTATAAGTTCTCATCGTTAAGTTCATTTTATATGGTTCGAAAAATTGCTGAATTTGAAATTTGTCAGAAAATTTTCTTGAATATTAAACAAATTACAGTAAAGCAAACTATAGAGATTACAATATTGCATTCATTGCTTTTCTATTTGATATCAATAAATACGTCTATTTTGCAGATTATTGACATACAATAATAACACTGTTGTAGTTGAAGTAAAAAAACTGATTTTCAGCGATGTCATGAAAAAAAAGTTGCAAAAACTACAACAGTGTAATTACAGTGCAATTGATTAAATTGACTGAAATGTCATTTTCGTAGATTTTACTTTGATTGCGCCATTATTATCACTATTTTACTTTTAAAAAAACTACATTATTTATAATATATGCTCACTATTTTCCAAGGCCAATTGGTCATTCAACTTAAAAATTAATCGCAATTGACTGCGTCTACTTAATCTACATGTTGATTATTGTGTAAGGAATACCTCTTATCATATATTTAATAAAAAAAATATTATTTATGCACAAGTATATAAGTTCTTTCTTCTTTTATTTTTACTTTTTTCGTCATTTGTTGCTATTCCAATATTTAAAAAAGTATGTTTTAATGACGATGTTGAATTCAATTTCTTATAAACTGTATAATAATCAAAATCGTTGAAATATAAATATGTACGACTGAACGTGTCATCGTGTGTAATTGCGAAATCGATCTTATTTTGTTCTGCTTCCAATATCAATCGTTGTGTTTCTTCATCAATGTTATCACTTGATGCACCTAATATGCCTATACATTTAATTGATGGAAATTTCGTTTTTATTTCAACAATACTAATGTCATTTAATGATAGCGTAATACATAAATTCTCTAATTTAGTCAAAGTGCCGTTGATAAAATTGTCAAAATTATGTATGAGTGTATTATTTATATCCAATTTAACTAATTGGCTATTTGGCTGAACAACTACTCGTGATAATTGACTATTGCTTGCATAGACTTTTCTCACATTCAACGGTAGAATAAGCGTTGCCACTGATGTAAAGTCAATCATCAACTCATCTAACGCATCGAAATGTTTTAAATCAATGATGTTTGACTTTAAATTTGGATTATTAGAAATAAATAGATACTCTAACTTGTTCAAATTATCAAATAATCCAACGGGTATGTATCTTAAATCGTTACTGTACAAACTCAAAAATCTAAGGTCACTATTATATTGAAACAACTGAGAACTATCTATTTGGATTTGATTTTCACGCAAATCTAACTCCTCCAAAACTTTTAAGTGTTCAAATACATTTTTATCCAAAAATTTTATTTGATTTGATGATAAATCCAAATATTTCAATGACGATAGGCCAAAAAATGCATCGCTGGCTATTTCGTTGATTTTGTTATTTTGAAGATTTAAATTTGTAAGCTGTTGACAGTTCGATAAAATTCCGCTCGATAGTTTTTCTAAATTATTCGAATCTGCATGAAGAAATTCTAATTTTGGCCATTCACATATTGACGTACCATCGATTGATGATAAACCATTGAAATTTATTTCAAGCGAATAGACATCCTTTGTTTGTTCAACAAAAGCTTTAGGTACCATTATGTTTTTACCAGCTATTGCTATCTGTGTTATGTGATACATATTCCTGAAACAATATGAATTATTAGGATGTTGTAATTCATCTGCATGAATAACACATGTGTAACAATGTCCCTGGACTTGCGCCAATGCCAAACTCGACGATAAATAAACAATCGTGATTAATTGCAAGAATTGCAAGAATTGCCTAAAATAGATTTAAATGTGGATTAAACCAAAATTAATAATAATGAATTTCTTATTTCTTTCAACAATAAAAAAAAATTATCACATTTCGATCGATTTACACATTGTAAATATCAATGTGTTAAATTGAACTGCAGTCTGTTTTGTTTTTTGTTGCTTATAATTTAGTTATAAATCACCATTGAAAGACAAAGATAAACTTTCTTCTATTGATTTCAAGAGTACACTGAGCACATTTTTGAAGATCATTTGCGTTTTATACCTTATATTTGATAAAAGTGGAACGCACATATTTGAAATGCCAATGAAAAGACAATTACATATTGAAAAACGAAAATAGACGAAAAAGTTCAGTGTATTGCAACAAGCGTGAACAAAAAACCTGTTTTCGAGAGAGAGAGAGAGAGAGAGAGAGAGAGAGAGAGAGAGAGAGAGAGAGAGAGAGAGAGGAAGAGAGAGAATGAGAGTAAAGTGAAAAAATCATGTGGCAAATTCCCGAGAGAAATGGAAAAAAAGAGAGAAACACACAATTCAATTTTACATAATCTACTGAATTTCTTGTTGTCTTTTTGATTTTTTGGTCATGTTTTATTTCTTTCTCTCTCTTTCTCACAGTAGTGAGAGTTCGGTTCATATCTTTCGCTCAAGCTCACTCTCATACACCTAAAAATGCATGAATTTTGAGTGAATGCAACGCGCGTGTTTTTTCTTCATTTCTTTGTTTCATTTTCGATCGATTCATGGCTCGTTCGAACAACAGAAGAGAAGAAAAAAAAATCACACACACAACATTTTCAAGCCGTGTGATGTGTTCATACAGTATAAACGAAATATCCGCGCTTTATTCAACAATGGCCACGCGCGCGACTCTTTTCTGGGGCTATAATATTATTTTTTTTTTCTCTGTTGTTTCACTTTACACATTTGAACGGAGTCCACGTACGTACATTCTAAACTTCGACTGTACATTTTATTTTCGATCGAAATTCATCACACATACATTCGTAGCCCATCTTTCGCAAGGCATACAAACGCTCACATACACACGCACACACATGGAGATAGAGAGCGGCCCAAACACCAATAGAAAGACACATGTACACGCATAGCACACAGCGTACGCGTGCTGCCACAAAAAAAAAGTAGCATTACATCACATTGTTCAACCTTTTCGGTTTGAATACAACAACTTGATCGCACATACAATACTTTTCCATACCCACTTTATCGTTGTCCATTTAAAATACATTGGACTGCTGTTGTTGTCGATGCTGCTGTTGTTGTCGTTCGTTCGATCGTTCATTATAAAAATTCACATGCGTCTAAGGAACCGCACATATACATACTTTTCTCATATAGCTACTACAGATCGATGTAGCTCAGTGATTAGAGCAATGGGCTTGGAATATTTACATCTTTTTAGTGCGGGCATGAAACCAAACATAGAAAATTTGTGTATGTGTGTATGATCACATAAGAATAGTAAGAAATTTTAAGCTCATGTTCGAAACTGTTTTCAAAATATTCACAAACAAATCAATTTCTCTTAAAATCAATGAGTTTATTATATGTTTACTTATGATTATTACTTCGTTCAAAAAGACGCGATTTTCAACGCTCGTGTACGCCTGTGTGCATCAAAGAACGAGTGTTCCTGTGCATAATGAGCAACGATTGTGCCTGTGCATGTGTGCAAGTGAAAGAGCTATTGTGATTTAATTAGCGATCTTGCATCTGGAAATATATGCATGTATGCGTGTGTCTATATATGATTATTGTTTCTGTTTGGTAACAAGGTACAAATGTTAGTATTAGGTATTTAGTTGAAGTGAAAACAATAATGTTTTTTCATTATCGAAAATGAGCAATTTTGTACCAAATAAAGTGTTTTTGCGGGGGATTTTACTCCATTACTTCAATATAAAGAAAAACGCTTCTGAAAGTAGTCGCATTTTAGTAGAATTTTATGGTGATCATGCTCCGACTGAGCGAACGTGTCAGAAGTGGTTTACTCGGTTTAAAAGTGGTAACTTTGACCTGGAAGATGATAAGTTTGAAGATGAAGAAACGGAGACGTTACTCAATGAAGATTCGTTTGCAATGAAGAAGCAAGAAGAAATTGTAAATGCACATGAAGTAACTCCGCGAGAAATTCCATATCAATATCGTTTAAACAGCTTGGGAATATTTCTAAAGTCAATCAATCGAATACCGGTGTTGGTACCAACACCAAAAAAAGTGTTTTTGCGGCGAGTTTTACTCCATCATTTTATTATGAAGAAAAATGCTTCACAAAGTAATTGTATTTTAGAAGAAGTTTATGGCGATCAAGCTCCATCTGAGCGAACGTGTCAGAAGTGGTTTAAACGCTTTAAAAGTGGCAATTTCAACTTGAAAGATGAAGAGCAAGTCGGTGCGCCAAAAAAGTTTGAAGATGAAGAATTGGAGTCGTTACTCCTTGGAGATTCATCGCAAACGCAAAAAGAACTTGCAAAAACACTTGGAGTTACTCGGCGAGCAATTTCACATCGTTTAAAAGCAAAAGGAATGATTCGAAAGGCAGGAAATTGGGTACCATCGTCAACAATTGTCACAATAAAAAGTGGTAAAAATGAGAAGGAATGTAAACGAATTAGTTTTGAATGAATAATTTGTTTTTGTATGCACATGCTTAAAATTTTTGGTTTTCTAATGTAAGAATAAATCAAACAAAATTGTGAACGTAAATCTCTGTTGTTTGAATGTGCATCTCCTTCGTACACCTGCTGTATTTTTTTTTTGTAATAAAATTATTTTACATTTTTTTATTCCAATGTCTTTGCCTCATGTTTTTTTCCTACTTTCTGTATAGACATTTCATAAAGATTCATGCATATAATTGCTCTATGCATGCTATATCTCTATGTTAGTATTTTTGTTTTTGTTCTTATTATTTCTTTGAAAAACTTAATTTTATTTAGCTTCTGATTTGCAAGAATGCGAGTGAGAGTTTGAGAGGGATAGAGAGAGAGAGAATCAAACTGGGAAATGAAGCATAATTAAAAACCATAACGTCACAGTGACAATAAAAGCAGAACGAATTGAGTATTCATTGATTCTCTCACACATAAATTATTGCATCTACATTTGTGTATATGCAAATAAAAACTAGTTTAATGAAATAGGTGTGTAAATACATATATGTGTTTGCACACATTCTTACATACACACATGAAAATAATAATAATTTATACATACACACTTAATAATTTGCTCACCGTCAAATAAAGTAAAGTTTTATTTTTGTTTTATGTTCTTTCTTTATTATTGAATGTGTGTTTGAGTGAGCGAACACACAACGTTAAAGCAGGTAAACAAACACTCATTTCACACGCACAACAAGCATTAAATACTGTATTTCTCTGCTCGCTTCTCTCTACTTTGGATTAGATGGTTCGAGATAAACAATAAAGAAAAATAAAAATTTTCAATGAATTTGAAGCAAACACTACCTAGTACAAATGTATGTTTCAACCACGGTATAATGTGCACAATCTGAGCGCAACGAAGCGAACATATGTTTGGGAAATAATTATTGCGGGATGAAACCGGCATTTCTATACTACTAACAACGAAAGAAGCAAACACTTTTTTTAAACAAATCACAAACACACACATACATAAATCATTTTGCTCCGAATATTATGCATCAATTGCGAGAAAACGTTTGTATTAAGCCAGCGATGCACTCGATTCGACGGCGGAATTTTAAATCAGCAAATGTCAACGCAACACACATTTATGGAATTTTTATGCGCGCCGCTGAAAACGAGCGCAATTTCAAATTGCCAACAATTACGTGATCTAGCGAAACAACGGTTTGGAAAGTCGGTAATAAAACTTGTCGTCGCGTAAACCAACCATCGTTGTCATTGTGTCAATGCGATGTGCACCGAAAAATATTGAGCTAATTTTTGTTGGTCGGTGCTTTTTTTCTTCTTTCATTTCGGTAATTGTTTTTTTGTTGTTGTTGTGGTTGTTTGTATTACAAAAATGACCCTCATTTCGGTGAGTTCAAGAAAAAAACTCTCTTTTTTTTCTTGTAATTGAGAATTTTCTCTTTGACAGATGAGATCAGATTGCTGTACATAAGAAATTGGAGCATTTTCTGTGGCATTTTTACAAAAAAAAAAAATGTTATTTACAACAACAAAAAGAAAAGAAAAAGAAATGGAATGAAAAATATGTCCGAATCATGGGAGTGGTTGGCTAATGATAATTGAAAGTTTATTTATTCTATACATTATAAATAAAACCGTATGAAATAAAAAAAAAAACCGGCACACACAGAAAAGATACAAGATCGATATAAAATGATTGGCTAATAATGCTTTGATCGAAGCATGATCGTTCGCTCTTCGAATCAACAAGCCCGCTATTATCGTCGCATTTTTCTTTCGTTTGCATTTTTTTTTGTAAACTTCTTCTCATTATTTCGTTCGGTGGTTCGATTATATTATTTTGTATTATTACTCATTCCATCATTATCTTTCTCACTCTTTCACTTCATGGTTGTGTGTTATGTTGTCCAGTTTTGTACACACAAGAGTCCAAACCGTCTAATTTACCGTTCAGACCATATAAATTAATGGACTCACTCATTCAGCAAAATGTTCACATAAAAATGAGTGAGCTGTGTATGGATGTGTGTGGTGGGTATGAAAGAGTGAGTAAATGCAGAGAGATACTGTTAATCGTCTTGTTCAAATCACATTTTTGTTGTAGACATGCACACATGTGGCTGGACGATGTTGACCGCGATTATTACATAAAAAAAAGAGAGAAGAAATAACGAAGAAAGAAACAGATATGTACATATATTCAACTCTCTATGCAACTGAACATGAGATACTGTTTCTGACACATTTTACCACAATGCCCATTTGTAAGTATCAAAACTCTATATCAAATCACGCGATGTGAATAAAAAATGCGGCAATATGGCGCAACGTCAAAACTCTTTCAATGTCTTCTTTTTTTTCTCTTTCGTTCTTTCTCTCTTTCGCGCGCATACACAGACACATGCATACAATGTGAATATGTCATGTATTTCCAATTGTGTGTGTGTGTGTGTATTCGTGTGCAAATCTATTTTACAGCGGCTAAGAATACTTGTATTTTTATCAATTACATTTTTTTACAACTCCAACTACATTCGGATAACATACAGATAAACAAACGGTTAAAAATGTGCAAACAATTCAATAAAAAAATGACATTTGTTTGGTTGTTAAGTTATCGGTTTCGAAAATCGCCGCCAAAATATGATTCGAATTATTTCCGCTGGGTATTGTAAGTGATAAGTTCAAAAGATATATACATGTATTGAACAATCATTGAACAAATGTACACTCTATTTAGCCGATCGCTTTCGTGCATGGGTTTGTATTTGTGTGTGTGTGTGTGTGTGTGTGTGTGTGTGTGTGTGTGTGTGTGT